CTGCTGCTGCTGCTGCTGCTGCTGCTGCAGTGCCGCAGCAGTTTGTATTCGCTTGTCTTTGTCTCTGTGCGTATATATCTCCTTCAATGGAGTCTCTACTTGTTTTTTCTGCTGCTTCTCTGTCTCTCCTCCTTTCTTTATCTCTGTCTCTTCTTTAGTTCTGCAGCAGCAGCAGCAGCAGCTGCTGCTGCTGCTGCTGCTGCTGTCTCTTTATCGGGTGCCTCTCTGTTTTGTTTTTGTCTCTGTGTTTGGTTGCATATACTTCTTCTCTTTTATGTTTATTGTGTGCTTGCTGCTGTTATTTTCTTTTACTTTCATCTGTCTCTCTCTATTTATTTATTTATTTATTTATCTTCCTGCTGTTTTACTCTTTTTGTTTTATTTATTTATTTATTTATTTATTTATTTATTTTATATCTGTCTCCTTCTACTGGCTTCTCTGTCTCTTTGTTTATGAGTTCGGGTGTATAGGGAGCTGTGGTGCGTTGAATTTCTTTGTTTATTACCTTTTATAGAGTAAACTTAAACTTAATTAAATTAATTTATTTTATTTCTTTTACTTGAGACAATGCGAACAAAACACAGAAAACAACAAAAAAGACAGAAGGAGATATCCCTCACTGCTTTTATTTATTTATTTTGTATTAACAAACCAAATAAAATTTATAAATATCATAAAATAAATAATTAAAATAAATAAATAAAATAAATATATAAAAAAATTTATTAAATAAATATAATAAAGCAGAAGAATAGACAAACAAAACAAACAAATAAATAAAACAAAAAAAATATATAAAATAAATAAATAAAACAAATAAATAAATAAAACAAATAAATAAATAAAACAAATAAATAAATAAAACGAACGAACGATAAAACAAATGAAGCAAACAAACAAAAAAATAAATCAATAAAACAGAAAATAAATAAAACAAAGTAAAAGGCAGCGAATAACGAGGAGACAGGAAAGACTAAAAGAAATAAATAAATAAAATAAAAATAATTATTATTATTATATTATTATTAATATTAATAATAATATTAATATTTATTTATTTATTTTAATTAATATTTCTTCTGTCTCTGCTGCAGCTTGTGCTGTACGTACACCTGGCGGGCGTCTCCTTTTGTGGCTGCTGCTGCATGCTGAGGGCTGCTTCTGTCTGTCTCTTTTTATTTAAATAAATAAATAAATAAACAATTAATTAATTAATTAATTAATTAATAATTAATTAATAATTATTAATTAATATTTCCGTTCAAAGATAATTTCTCTCTACAGTTCTGCTGCTGCTGCTGAAAAGAGACAGCTGGTCGCCTCGCAGCAGCAAAGGAGACAGTTATATATATATTCTTCTTCTTCTTTGTTTAATTAATTTTAATTAATTAATTAATTAATTAATTAAATAAATAAAAACATATAAATAAACAAACAGATAAATAAATAATAAGAGTTGTTTATTTACTTCTTTCCTTCGCCCTGCTGTCTGTCTCCTTTTTATTATCTCTTCTTCTTTCTTCTGTCCAATAACAAAACTCTATGCAACATAACGCAAAGGGGGCCTCTCTGGGGGGCCCCCAAGGGGCCTCCCTTGGGGGCCCCTCCCAGGGGGCCCCTCTGGGGGGCCCCTCCCTGGGGCCCCCTATAGGGGGCG